ATTACATTTGCAAAGGCCTGATTTCCAAATAAAGTCACATTTACAAGTTCCTGTTAGTTATTTGGGGGAGACACTATTCCAACCAGCACACTCCACAAGTCTCACCTCCAGGCTGCAGGCCTCTGCCTCACTCCCCCACTTTGAGTGTTTTCTCCTTTTATTAATGGCAAAACCCTCCATGCTGCTGCATCGGTGTCAGCCCCAAGGCAGCTGGCCATTTTAATCATCAGGTTCCAGATCCAACTACCCAAGCAGCATTCAGCCGGTGGCTGACGTCTCCCCTGCCCAGATCGACAGCTTCAAGACATTTCAGCTTCCTCCTTCCACAGCTCCCTAGGCTGCTCTTCTAAGAGGTATTTGAAACCCTGTTTGCACCACTTAGCATCTCAGTTTGAATCCGCTAATCTCTTAAATTCTCTCAGCGTAGATCCTGCTCCTCAGCCGCCCAGCCCCAGAGCTTCCCTGCCTGGGAAACTGGCAGGTAACCAAGGGCCTGGCGGAGACTGGATCTTGCCTGCCTTGCTGCCTCCTAGCCACAGACACTGCTGGCTTTAGAAGTCGAGTCTCATCCTCTTGGTACAGTTTGAAATGGTCCACAGTGGGACCCAACACAATCATCTCCCCCCACCAAACACACACCCCCAGTGTGCACCAGCCAACCTTTCAGCAGGTGTGCTCCCTTCCCAACAGCCAGCTCTAGCTCCTCAAGCCCTGGACAAGTCTAAAGGTGTCACACAATTCCCCGGTGTCTGAGACTTGCCGATCCTGACATTTTACTGTAACTTTTTGTGCACATGCAACTCTGTGTGTGCATGTGTATGTGTGTGTGGTGCTGGGGATTGAACCCAGGACCTCATGCTTCTTTATCACTTTTTGGGGTTTTTTTGTTTTGTTATGTTTTCAAGACAGGGTCTCTCTAACTTTGCCCAGACTGGCCTCAAATTCCAGATTCTCCTGTCTCCACTTCCCAATTAGCTGGGATTACAGGCGTTAACACCACACTGGGTGTTCCTTTTTTGTGGTGAATAATGACCCACTGTATGGATTTACATTTTATTCACTGTTTGTCAGCTGATGAACATTTGGATTGTTTCCACTTTGGGGCCATTGTGAATAATGCTGCTGTCCGTGCTGCATACAAGTTTTTGTGTGAACATGGGTTTTCGATTCTTTCAGACATATATCTAGGAGTGGAATTAATGGATCATATTGTAACATTAACATTTTCTCTACATGCTTTATCACCTATCTGTCTATCCATTCTCTTTCTGTTCATATATTAATCCACTTTGCTTTTTATTTATAAATAGCATCAGTACACCTCACCCCAAACTCATCAGCATGTCTATTATTAAGTAGGATTCAATATTTGTTTATAGTTCTTACTTTTTGTATAAAACTTACAATGAGTTCTGGAATGTATCAATTAATGAGTTTCAGCACAGGCCTACCCAGACCTGTGAAATCCAAATCAAGACTTGCAGATTCAAGCAAGTACCAGAGGCTCAATCCTGTAATCCTAGCTACTTGGGAGGCTAAAATCGGGAGGACAGAGCTGCAAGGCCAGCCCAGACAAATATTTCATGAGAGCAGGTCTCCAAAATAACCAGAACAAAATGGACTGGAAGCTGGAGGTGTGCCTGCTTTTCAAATGCAAAGCCCTGAGTTCAAACCCCAGTCCCTCCAAAAAAAAAAAAAGAGAGAGAGAGAGAAAACACATGCAGATTCAGAACCACACCCCTACCTCAGGCTCCCTCATCAGAGTTGTCTGGCCCCTGCCTCACAATCTCCAGACACAACCAGTATTTTTTCCCCATTGTCAATCAGTCTTGCCTGTCCTAGAATTTCATACAAACAGAATCATATGGTATGTGCTCTTTTTCCTCCAGCTTCTTTCACTTAGCATTCTCCTTTTGGACTTTATCCATATTTCTAAATGTAGCAAGATTCAGGACTTTTGTTGCTAAATTGTCCTCTGTCATCATCATGGTTTCTCCATTCACCTGCTAAGGAACACTTGGGCTGTTTCCTGCCATCGTCATCGTCGTCACTCCTGTAGTTCTTGATGTGGACCCATGAGTTTATTTTCCTCATGTAAATATTTAGGATTGGGCTGTGCTTCGTGATGGGTATGTGTTTAATTTTCTAAGAAACTGTCACATCTTTTTTCCAAAATGGTCATACCATTTTTCATTTTTCATGCCTACAGCAATCTTCGAGGCTTGTAAATTTTGCTTGTTTGATGGCACTAGAATTTGAACTCAAGAGCTTTACGGTTGCTAGGAAGGTGCTCTACCACTTGAGCCACTCCTCCAGCCCTGAGGTTTATAAATTTTGAGCCACAAAATAAAAATTCAAATTGTAAACAGCTACTAATTAAATAATTTATTTACCTCTCCCATTTCATGCTAAAATTTTAAATAATTAAGTTCTGAATACTACAGCTGATAAATGGCTGCCTTGACCATATTCTCAAAGGAACGTGACAAAATAAGGAAAAACGAAATGAACAAATAAATAAAAGAAGTGACTTTTATGATTAAAAAAAATACTCAACAAACCAGGGATAGAAAGAAATGTCCTCAACCCAATAAAGCCACCTATCCAAAACCCACAGCCAGCCTCACCCCTAACTGAATGGCAAGGCTTTCCTCAAACATCAGGAACAAGACAAAGATATCCATTCTTTGTGCAGGTGACTCACAACTGCAATCCTAGCTACTCAGAGGCTGAGATCAAGAGAATCCCGGTTCAAAGGTAGCCTGAGCAAATAGTTCCTGAGACCCTATCTTGAAAATATTCAACCAAAACAGGGTTGGCGGAGTGAATCAAATGGTACAGTGTCTGACAAGACTGAAGCCCTGAGTTCAAAGCCCAGTACTGCCAATATATATATATATGTACGTGTATGTATATGTACATGCTCTCCCCACTTCTATCTAACCTTGTTTTAGACATTCTAGTCAGGGAAATGAGGCAAGAAAAATAAAATCCAGATTAGAAAGGAAAAAACAAAGCTATCTCTAGAAGCAGATGGCATGTGATCTTGTATCCAGAGAATCCTAAGGAATCTACTCAAATGAGGTAATGAAGTTCATGACACCCAGTAGAAGTCTGGAATTCTAGGTTTTGGAATTCAGTGGCTTTCTTTGAACTGGCTCTTTCGTTGGGGGGGAAGGGTTCTAGCGTAAACCCAACTCTTTTTAAACCTATGGGTTGACCTCTTCCCCTCTTAAGTTTGCTCCTGTAACTCTCCTCAGAACTGTCCACCAAGACCCTGTTTTCTACTTCTCTGGCTCCCTACAACAACTTCACCTGGTTTTCTACATTATGCTGTCCTCCTGCTCAGTGTTTATTTTTATTTTATATGTTTATTTATTTCTGAGATGGGAGGGGGTCTCAATATGATGCTCAGTCTAATCTAAAACTCCTGGGCTCAAGCAATAGACCCCCTCCTGCCTCCCAAAGAGGGGCCATGGACCTGCTCCTGCTCAGTATTTCAAAGTAGCCACCTAAGGCCTTGCAGATAGTCTGAACCCTCTTAGGTGACTTGTGTGTTCTGTATGAATGCTTTATGGCTCATTTTGAAAACAACTTTATTGTACAATTTATATATCACAAAATTCACTCATTTTAAGTCTGCATTCAATTTGTGCAGTGCTAAGACGGAAGGAACCCAGGGCTAGACAGAAAATTTTAGTAAATTTATAATATTTCCATTGCCCTGATAAGATTCCTTCCCAGGTTGGCTTTTCAAGACTAGTCCAAGGAAAGTCCACCCCAAGTATTATGCTTGGACGTTATGCCGGCGAGGTTTCCGATTAAAAATCTAGGCCTAAAGACTCCCACACAACATGTTATAAAAGGATCATTTTCCTATTAAAAAATGACAACTTGGAGCTGTGCGCTGGAACTTACACCTGTGATCCTAGCTACTCGGGAGACAGCGATCAGGTGGATAGCAGTTCGAAGCCAGCCCGGGGAAATAGTTCCGTGAGAACCTATCTCGAAAAACCCATTACAAAACAGGGCTGGTGGAGTGGCTCAAAGTGTAGGCCCAGAGTTCAAACCCCAGTACTGGTTAAAAAAAAAAAAAAAAAAAAAGGCAACTTGGGCTGAGAGATGTAGTTCAGTTGTAGAGCACTTGCCTAGCATGGGCGAGGCCTGGGTTCTGCCCCCAGTACCACACACACACACACACACACACACACACAAATTAATTAATTAATTTTTAATTAATTAAATTAAAAATGAAGTCTTGGCTTACCAGTAAATCAATCATGATAGCTTAAAGGGTTAAGATGGTCCGTGGCTCCATTTCCATCTAATCAGTTCACCATTTTTCCTCAGGGCGGATCTTCCCCCATTGGGCTGAGACAGTCTTTAAAAGCTTTTCCAGAACTCGACCCCTCCCAAGGCTAGCAACCACCTACTCCCCAATAATACCAACCCTTCCTGGCCCCCGCAAGCCCAGGATCCCAGTCAAGAAACGTTAATCTGTGACTTTTTAAAAAATTTGCCACTTCCAATTCCGCCACCCCCATCGCAAGGCAGGGTCCCCTTCCCTGTCGGCCTCGTTTTCCTAATCGCCAGATTCCTAGCCTCACTCCCTCTCCTTTCTCCCCTTGTCTGAGGCTGGCACCAGGATCTCAAAAGCGCCAAGACTAAAACCACAGCAGTTGACGTGCGGAGAGGAGGGGTGTGTGCGGTGTGTGAGTGTGGGTGCCAGTGTGTGGAAGAAACCAAATGGTCCCCCAGGGTGTGGGTCTTTGGGAATGCCAATCACGTCCTGATCAGGGAGCCTGGATCAGCCCCCCAGAAGGCCCCCGCAGATCAGGGCCGGAGATAAAATCTCGGGACAGCCAGGCTTCACTCTGTACCGCAGGCCTGCAGGCGCCCCGTCCCCCAAGGGTTCAGCATCGCCCCCGGCTCCGCGCGATGGTACGGTCCGCGCGACGTCACCCATTGTTTACAAATCAACCCGAGCCGGCAGGATTCCGGCTCCCGCGGCAGCTAGCGTGCCGCGCTAGTGCCCGGCGGACCCGGCTTCCTCGTTCCCCGGCTCCGGCCCCGGCCCCGGCCTCGGCCTCAGCTCGGCCCCGCGCCCGCTTCTGTCGCGGCCCGCCGAACCCGCGGGCAGCAGAGCCACCAGCGACGCCCGCACAGCCCCGGGTGCCCGGGCGGGGGGCCATGCCGTGCCGGAGGGAGGAGGAAGAGGAAGCCGGCGAGGAAGCGGAGGGGGAGGAGGAGGAGGAGGACAGCTTCCTCCTGCTGGAGCAGTCGGTGACGCTGGGCGGCTCGGGCGAGGTGGACCGGCTGGTGGCCCAGATCGGCGAGACGCTGCAGCTGGACGCGGCGCACGACAGCCCGGCCTCCCCGTGTGCGCCCCCAGGGCCGCCGCTGCGGCCCCCGGCAGCGCTGCCTGCGGACAAGGCTCCGCCTCCGGCGGTGCCGCTACTACTACCGCCCGCGTGTGCTGAGGTGGGGGCCCCGGCGCCTCCCGGAGCCCTGCGCTGCGTCCTCGGGGACCGTGGCCGCGTGCGAGGCCGGGCTGCGCCCTACTGCGTGGCGGAGCTCACTGCAGGCCCCAGCGCGCTGTCCCCACTGCCCCCTCAGCCCGGCCTTGATGGACCTTCGGGAGCTAGCAAGCAGGACATCCCGCAGCCGTTGTCTGGTCCGTGCCGGCGAGGATGGTTCCGGAGCGCAACCGCGTCCCGCCGCCTGCAACAGCGACGTGGGTCCCAACCCGAAACCCGCACAGGCGACGACGACCCGCACCGGCTTCTGCAGCAGCTGGTGCTCTCAGGAAACCTCATCAAGGAGGCCGTGCGCAGGCTTCATTCGCGACGGCTACAGTTGCCTGCAAAGCTTCCCCAACCCCCCCTCCTGGGGCCTCTGTCGGCCCCAGTGCATGAGCCCCCATCGCCCCGAAGCCCTCGTGCGGCCTGCAGTGACCCTGGCGCGTCCGGGAGAAGGACGCAGCTGAGAACTGGGGACGGCGTTCTTGTTCCTGGCAGCTAACAGCCAGGGTGGCCACAGCGCCAGCCTCTGACTGGAGGGCCAGGTGGTCCCTCGAGGACTGCAACCCTGTTCAGGCTGGTGGAGAACTCGTGCTTTTGGAAATGGCAAAAATAAGCTAACGAAGACGAGGAACCGAAAAATCGCAAATGTTTTCATGGGTCGAGGGCCCCGATTTGTTTTAAACCCAGGACTTGACCAGCCCTCTTTAAGGCAGCTCTTAGAGGGCGCACCCGAAGCTCACAGTCGGTAGTATTCCTTATTTGGCGTGACCCGACCTGGCGGCGCAGCGTGCAGCCGGCGCAGACTCCCGGCGACCACGTGGCCAGAGTCCACGCTTCTCAGGATCGCCTAGCGTCAAAAGGACTGAGAATGCACCCAGTTCATCAGGACTGGTTCCTGATCCACCCTGGGGGAGGGGAACATGAGTAGATGATAATTTCAGGGAGTACCCCAAAATGCCAGACTTGGAACATTTACGATACTTAAAAAAACACCTCGTGTCTTTTGGGGTGCTGGTTTTAATATGGAACTTGCGGTACCACGAAAGGACCTTCCGGGGTTGCATTAGGAGTAACCTTTTTCTCTGTTCCCTGTTCGGGAGTTATCAGTGCTGGGGGAAGAAGACTGAAAGTCACGGGTGGGAAGAAGCGGCGTTGGAGGCCGTTGGGTAGTGGAAGGGTAAAGTGAAGTGCAGAGTGAACTCTCGGTCCGGAGGCGGCCCGTCGCTACTCCGGTTCAAGGTCACTGTTTCATGGACGCGCCCTGTGTTTCGGGGCTCCAGCAGTGAGAGGAACCCGGTCAGCCTAGGCTGAAAGAAGAACGCGATGCTTTGCAAGTGCTGGAGTCTCTTGAGGACACGCGCGTCGCCGCCATCGCGAGTGGGGAGGAAGGGGCGTGCTGGGTGCCTGTGCTTTCTGCGGGCGGCCAACGCCCCTGGCCCCTCTCCGGGTTTTCACAGAAACTGTTCTTAGACACGGCCCCGAGTCCCTTCTCTCTGCCTTCACTGTGCTGCGTTGGCGGTCCTTGGGGGCCCGGGTGGGGGGCTAGGGAGACACCACGTGATGGGCACTTAGGGACACACAGCCTCGAAAAGCAGCTTATAAATGGGCTCTCCAGGGCCATTTGCAATAACAGCTGCAATTCCCTGGATAGACAGTTGATTTCCTCCTGCCCCTCCCCCAGCTGTGCCAGCTCGCCTTTGTAAGTGAAGGAAACCGAGTAGAAAATGTTACTCTCCAAACGGAGAAGCTGCAGGCTTTGCCACTGTGACCATGGCGAAGTGCTTGGAAGTACTGTTCACTCGCTCTGAGCGCGCTGAAAACCCTGTGTTGTTTTAGTTTTACAGTCAATGGCGCATTCAGCATCTAGATGTGGCTGTTGACGGATCTACACTTCGCACCGGAGTGTCTGCAATTGTGGCTGTCCTGATTATAGGATTTTAACTTAACTGAAATAACTGTTTTGAATAAATGTGTTGGGTTTTTTGTTTGGTTGGTTGGTTGGTTTTATTTTATACTTGCCACCAGTGGGAAAGATGTACAGACGCATTCCTCTGATCTCCATAAACATGAAAACACTTGAAATCCCTGTCAGCCTGGCTTGCGGATGGTAATTAGAGGCCTTTGTGTCTGAGCAGCTCACTAGTTAGACGAGGTCTGCGCAGCTGGGTGTGTATCGGTGCTGGCATGAAATTAAATGAAAGTGAGGTCAGGTTTTGGACCAATCCCATTCACCAAAACCTCAGAGCCTTTTGGATTACTAGATAGGATGACAATGTGTTATGAAGCTGCCTTTGACTATCAACAGCGGACATCAGATCAGCCTGACACTGCAGTCTGAGAGACATGGCTTTTTTTTTTCTTTCTTTCTTTCTACTATGGCCATTGAGTGGACTGTTGGTCCTGGGCTGCTCAGGATTCAAGGCTGGTGGTGGGAAAATTGGCTGGGAACTTATTAAGGTCTCTTCCCTCTTTGCCCTTAGCACATGTACTGCTATTCTGTCCCCACAGCCACTCAGCAGTCCATCTCTATCCCTATGGTTCTGAGTTACTTCAGTCAAGGAAGAAGCAAGCATACCACGTTCAAGTTCACTTACTGAGTGGGGAGGGAACCTTGGACAAGTTGCTCAACCACTGTGGGCATCCATTTCCTCATCTGTACATCAGGGATAATGAGATACAGAGTACTGATGACTGACTAGCAGGTACTAGAGATGAACATGTAGTCCCTTCCCGTTCCTTCTCTGACTAAGTAGCCAAGTGACTGATTCTCATAAAACAGGGTGAGCCATGATCCCTAAACTGCTCTGGAGTGAGTGCTCTGTGACTGGAGTCCTGATTGTCTAATTCCCTTTTTGACTCTGCCCTGTTCGTTCTCTCTCAAATAAATGGATACTAATAGTCTCTGAGGAGTACCTTCAAAACACATTAACCAGTGGTTTCCCACAACCTGCCAGAAATGGCTGTGGCGGGGCTCAGTCTAGCATTGTCAAGCGAGGAAAGGGGATTACAGAGGCTCTAAGACAAGCCAAGAAAAAGGCTTCCAGCAGCACAGTAGGCTACCATCTCTGGCACTGAGCGTGTGGAGAAAGTAGTCAGGGTCAACTTCGCCCAGCATGGAAGTAGCTCTGAGCTGCTCAGCCAGGATACTTAGTTGTAGAGGGATATCAGAGGTCTAGGTTTAGAAGCAATCCAAGGCTTTCCCTCCAACTTCAAACTGGCCAGGATGCAATGTCACTGCACACACCGTGCTGGCTGCACATGTAGTAAGAATGATAAGGCCAGACTCAACTAGGGCTCAGGCAGTACAAGCCACACCTTGGAAAAGGAAAACTGAACTGGGCTTGGTGGTGCACATCTGTAATCCCAGCACTCAAGAGGCTGAGATAAGAGGATCAGGAGTTCAAGTCCAGCCTGGACAACAGAGCAAGTTCTAAACCAGCCTGGGCTATATAACAAGCCCCTGCCTCAAAAAACAAAAAGAAGGGAGGGGGCGGGGGAAAGGGGGAAGAAATGACCCAAATATTGTATGCATATATGAATAAAAGAAAAAATAAAAAAAAAAGTGTGTACAGTATTTAAGTACTATATACACAGTGCAGTATTTAAAATTAAAAAAAAAAAAAGGAAGGAAAGCTGGGTTCTGGTTGCTTATGCCTGGAATCCTAGCTGCTTGGGAGGCTGGGATCAGGAGGACTGAAATTCGATGCCAGCCCAGGTAAATAGTTCACGACACCCCCATCTCCAAAATAACCAGAGCAAAATGGGCTGGAGGTGTGACTCAAGAGGTAGAGTGCCTGCTTTGTGAACTCAAAGCCCTGAGTTCAAACCCCAGTTTCACCAAAGAAAAGAAAGGAAAACTACTACCTACTGTGTGTGAGGCACTCAAAATGCACTATAATCCTGGAATTATCTTTTTTTTAAATCCTGCCAAGAGCTGGGGGTGTGGCACACAGGCAGAGCCCTTCCCTGGCATTCATGAGGCCTTGGGGTTCAATCTCTAGCAAAAAAAAATTTTTTTAATCCAAGCTGGGCGAGATGGCATGGACCTATAGTCCTAGATAATCAGGGGGCTGAGGCAAGAGGATTGCTTGAACCCAGGAATTTGAAACCAGCCTAGGACCTTGTATTTAAAAAAATATAAACAAGAATAAAAATTAGAAATCCTGCTAAGTTCTGCTATTTACCCCCATGTACCTTTTTGGAGTAACTCAGGATTTACATAAATGATTATTTAAAGTTATTAGACGTGTGTGTGTGTGTGTGTGTGTGTGTGTGTGTGTGTAAGCATTCTACCACTAAATGCATCCTCAGCCATATTAGATAATTTTTTAATTAGATAATTATTTGTAATTAATTTTTTTTTACCCTTTCCCTCCCACTCTGCTAACTATGAATATACTGTTTTTTTTTTTTTGGTGGGACTGGGGTTTGAACTCAGGGCTTCGTGCTTGCAAAGCAGTTGCTCTACTTCTTGAGCCATACCTCTAGCCCAAGACCATTTTATAGATGCAAAATAGTCCAGAAAATTGACCAAGACAGACTGACACATCAAAGTCACTTACGAAGTCAAAGTCTTGCAGTCTAGGGTCCAGCTCTTTGGACTCCAGCTCGGGCTTCTTTCCATTCGACCCATAGTGTCCACTGCACAACTCTGTACATCTGCTACAATGTGAATGACATCCTGCGGTTGCCCATACTGATGACTCTCAAAAACTCTGCCCCAAGCCAGGCACCAGTGACTAACACCTGTAATCCTAGCTACTTGTGAGGCTGAAATTGGGAGGGTCAGAATCAAGACCAGCCCGGGCAAGCAGTTTGAGAGACCCTATCTCCAAAATAACCAGCGCAAAATGGACTGGAGGCATGGCTCAAAGCAGTAGAGCTCCTGCTTTGCAAGCATGAAGCCCTGAGTTCAAGCCCCAGTCTCACCCCCCAAAAAAAAACCCAGCCCAGTTGCCTAGATTGAGCTAGGGAATAACAGGTATGATACAATCACTTTCTTAGAAAATGTTGAGCATCCTGTGAAGACAGCTGGACACAGAGAATGGCCTAGGTGAGATGAAAGACCAAAGCTATGAACTGAATAAAAAAAAAAAAACTTAAAGTGAATCAATTGGCAAAAAACAATTTGGAGCAAAGAATGCCACACCTTATAGAGGACTTCAGAGTCTGCCACCCAAGATTTCATTCTAAACTAAGCATCCAATGCTACAGTATTCGGAGTCAAATTTTTCTTTTTGTTCTTTTTCCAGCTCAGAAGCAGAAACATGAAGCGAAGATCAGACACCACTTTCCTATCCAGCAAAGTCTGTGTTGAACCCTGTGGTCCCTTCCTTCCAATCAGGAAAGAGTTACCTTGGCAACCAAATTACTAACTCACTCAATTAGCTCCCCCCTCTTCCACCAATGCTCAGTAATCACAGAATGCAGCCCCAGGAGAGCTCAGGCTTGGGCAGTCTGGAGCTAGCGCCTCATTTAGAGGTAGCAGAAAGGTTTCCACTTGGCAGTGCACTCCATTTGAACGCCATGAAAGCTGGTATAGGCAAAGGGGGAAACTCCACATGCAATGTCTATATCCGTCTCTGAAGGGAGAGCAAGTGACCTGCCCATACATCGTTTCCCGCAGGCAGCCC